TTTAGCAATCGTTGTTAGGTTACAAACTGTTCTAAATGCTAGTTTCTGATTAAATTTACACTTCTTTTGCTTGCTTTTTGGTTTTTTTACATGTTATACATTAGATTTATCCAGTATTAGTTCTATATACAACTTAAAACTATTGGTGTTATCAAAATGTTTCTCCAGCTTTATGACTTTTGCAAATAAAAAGTTAAATTGTGTTCTGTTATATTGTATAATTTTAGAAATTTGTTTTACTTTCACTACCCTTTAGTAATAAGTATTTTTCTTAATTATAGTAATATAAATATTTCCAGCAAAAAACATCTTAAAAGATTGTTTTTTAAAGTTCTTTGTAAAACGTTAAAAAATAATCTTGTAACAGGCTTCTGCATACTTTAGATGTATGCAGAAGCCTGGCACATTTATAAATACAGGGAAAAAGGGCAAAATATAAATTTTTGAGAATCAAACAAAATAGCATCAGCATGGAAAGTGGCAGAGTTACAATTATAAAGAACAAATGGATTTGTGCAATCGAATCTGAGAAGATTGTAAAACATAAGTTTTGGAATTTCCGTTTGGCAAACTTAAATTCTGTTAGTTTGATCCTGAAGAAGGTCTGTTAATTTGACCGAAAACGTTTGATAAGTGGTTTAAAATAGACTACATTTTAAAGGTATTTGGAGTTTATTAACTTCAAAACATTGTTTTTAAAATCATTTATAATGGCAAATATGGTTTATCAGACCATCTGTAATACAATCATTATGTATATGTTAATAATATGTACTTGATATTCATTAATTATTCAAATATTTTTAATTTTTGAGTTATCCAGTCTCCTCTGGATAGCTTTGATTTGCCACTGATCAGGCCATATACAGCTATTTCAATCATTACAGTATTTGTTTGAGAAAACAAGGAACTACTGTTCTTTCAAAACCATCCTACTTTCCTGATCTAGCCCCTAATGACTTTAGGTAATGAATAAAAAAAGGAAAATGGAAAATGGTTTCAGTTAATAGAATGCATACAAACAAATTGAAAGATATTTTGTAATCCCTGAAAGAAGTTGATTTTTCTAAATGTTTCCTGAATTTGCAAAATCATGGAAGATGATATTTTGATGAAATTCTGTATATCCTATTTTTCAAAATAGGATATACAGAAATTTATTTAATAACATACTGTATCTTAATCTTTTGACCCATTCTTGGTCTTTTAAACATAATTTGAATTGGAAATAAATACAAGATATTATTTTAAAATAATTCATTTGATTATAAATTAATTAAAATTAAATAATTAATTATATTTTCAATTAATTTCTTTTAAAGTTTCAGTTTTGACAGCTGTTTTTAAATATATCTGATGCTTACATTGCTGTTACTTTTCCAAATTCTTCTTTAACCTATTATCCAAATATTATTATTCTAATTGTTAATAAAATTATTTTATTTTAATATATGATTTAGGAACTTACAAAATATTAAATTTGTTCCCTTTATTCTTTTTTCAGATTANTGTTTTCTTGATCAAGATTCTGGATCTTGTCCAAATAGAGAAATTAGATGGTACTATGATAAAACTGATGGAGTATGCAAGGAATTTTACTATGGCGGTTGCGAAGGAAATGGAAATAGATTTCAATCAAGAAGGGAATGTGAAACAAAATGCACATATTCTCAAGGTATTCTTTTATTTTTTACTATGTTTTAATTTTGTATAAAATAGAGAAAAGAACTGAAGGTTTCAAAATGAAGAGAGAGAGAGAGAGAGAGAGAGATTCTTTTCTGCATTATTTGATAATGTTCATATAAAATAATTTCTAGAAAATAAAATATAATATGTATTTCACACATGTAAGCATTTTTCATTCTACAAATTTTAGCTTATTAATTATTAGATTTTTAAAAATTACTGAAAATTAAAAAAAAAGAAATAAAATTATTCTTACTTTTTGAGAATTTTAATCTTTAGTAATTTCCAGATTATCAGTTTAATAATGATAAATAAAGTAATAAAAAATTTATTCTATTGATTAAATTTGATATTTTGTGTCTGTCTATTCTCATCTCAATGAATTTGACATATGTTGTTTCAAAATCTTTATGTAGATTTGTTTTATTTGAAAGGAGCATAGCAGATTTAAGAAAAATACTTTTCAAGTATTTTTTATATTTATTACTTTATAATTACAAGAATTTTTTTTATAATCTTCTTTGGAGTGGTTCTTGTTTGCCTTATGGCATAATAAATAAATTTATGTTGAGGGATTAATTCAATTAGTGAGAAAAAAAACAGATAATAATAGATATGATTCTGAAAATGTTTAAGATAGTGCTACATATATACTATATATATGAGTGACTTAAAAAAGAATTATTTTAACAAGTAACACGTGTAGTCTTATTGTTAATTGTTTAAATTTCAATATAAAGAAGTAATTTTGTAATGATTTTTGACTCATAAAAGCATAAGTATTAATTTTCTTATATACTAGACTCTTGTTAATGCACTTTTCTTGCACAGTTATGTTGAATTACTGTGTGTGTATAGGCCTAAAGGTAATGATTGATGTCAATTTTTGCCCTTTGGTTCTGAATTTTTTAAAGCTGTACCAGTGGCATGCCGTCCATGGAAGCTGTAGAAGCACTGCTTCCCTTCTATTTTCTAAAATATAAATACATATTGTGCGATTATTTTCATATTTTAATGTACTTTGAATTAATTAAAATTAATATTTTACAACTGCATTATGTATCTTATTACAAATTTATATACATGTGAAAAACAATGATATATTTGAATATAAATTCATATGTGCATATTCCCAATGGAAGCACTGTATTGTCAAATGTGGGACAGCTTCCATGACAAAAATATTTGAATGGTGTAAAGCAGCATGATTATACACATTTGTGCATGCACTTTACAGAGCACCAATCTCATGCAGTTTAGCTCATGGATGCTACACACCAAAATATTGTATAACGCTTCCAATGATTCTATCCAGGGTTGGCACAGCTTCCCTATCATCAAATGTCACTGAGCTGTACTATTTTTAGTAATAAAAAATTACACTTACAATTATTGTATTAAATTTAATGTTACAAGTTTATTGTAAGTACTAAAAAAGAAACACGAATAGGAGACAAACATAGTACAATCGGGAGTATGCCAGATAACTGTGGGACCATATTAGCAAGAGTGTACTGTTCTTTAATTTTTGTCAATTCTGTTATAATTTTCCAAATCTCTATATGCATAATTTTATTTATGATTTCAACAAAATTTATTATACACTTTATTCTTTATTATTTTGTGATTTTTAATCAAATTTGTTTAAAATTTTAAAATTCAAAATAAAAATAAGAACCTTAAAGTTTATAAATTGTTCATTCAAATAAGACTTTTGTGTAAATAAGTCACAATTTGGCGAAGCTTTTAAAATTTCAAACATGTACAAAAATAAAATTTGAAATTAACGTCATGAATGCCAAAAATCCAGTACATAAAAGTAATTTAATGTAAAAATAAACATTTGTACTTGAAGATGGCTATTATAAACAATAAAAAATGTTTGTTTTTACATTAAATTGCTTTTATGTGCTGGATTTTTTGGTGTTCTTGATGTTAATTTCATATAAGCTTATCTAGTTTCTCATATTTACATGGTTGTTAAAATAAAATTTTTGTTTATTTTAATAATGTGGTAAAGCATACATAAAATAGTTTATATTGTAATGAATTTTAGGAAAATCATTTAAAGCTGGAATATGTTAAATTAATTTAATTTAGGCCTTTGAGAAATTTTTTCATTTATTATTATAGGAGGCATTGTTCTCAAATTATAATAAATTTGAATGAATCATTGGCATTTGTAGGAATGCTTTGATATACTCTATATTTATTATTTATTTATTTAGACAAAATTGATATAACTGAAGAAATTAGTATCTTCACTTATATACAGTAATGAGACAGAAATTAATCATGCTTACTGTCAAGAAAGTACAAATTTATAGCATCTCATGCTTAGCATAAATTCCACCCTTGGTTATGTAAGACAAAAAAAGAAAGATAATAAACAATTATCATAAAACTTAGCAATGAAGTAATTTATGAATAAGTAAAATAAAAAATCACTATCAAAATTATACTCAGTATGTGATTAGTTCAAATTTTAGGAAAAATACCAGTATTTGTCAATTATGTTGGATGGGTTAATTTAGCTACTTATGTTGGATTTGTAAAGCCTTAAAATTGAGTCTATAGTTAGTTTCAATGAGCTTTATCTTTTTGGTAACTTTAATTTTCCTTTGCAGTTATTGTTTTTTTAACATTATATTGATTTTATTTAAGCAATGATTATTTTATCATTTATTAATATATTTCCAGATATCTGCAAATTACCCAAAGTGCAAGGGTCATGCAGTGGATCTTTTGTTCAATGGCATTATTCTCACTCGACAGATGAATGTGTTGAATTTATGTTTAGTGGATGCCAAGGAAATGCTAATAGATTTGATGATAAAGAAAGATGTGAGAAATATTGTAAGATTACATCCACTCCCCATACTCAAGGTACCATTTTAATTAATATGAATTTAATATTTGAATTTCTTATTTTTGACATATAAATATAAACTTTTCTATAAGAAACACAGTCTAAATTTATATTTCATTTATTGACTAAATACTGAAATGTAGGTGTTCCTCAATATACTAAAGCTGGATATCCATTATGTAATGTCCAGATAAATGATATTAGTTGATTTTTATGAGCTTTGATAACTCGATACACATATGCCCTTTTTTATTTTGGGTAAATACAGAGTGATTCAAAAGTCACAGAAATTTTAAAAAATTAATACCTCACAAACTATTTACAGTAAGATGATGCAGTTTTCACAGAAATGCTTAGAAAGAAACAGGATTTTTTAGGTGTAATAAAAATTTTAGTAACAAAATAGTTACATTTCTTGCCATAGATGATGCTGTAAAAATTGAAATCATTTGTCAATTGGTTAAAGTAAGAATTAAAAAATAAAAATGTTCTTAGTGTAAGCTCTAGTAACAACTTCACAAATTATGTAATCTCATCAAGTGCCATCTATGGCAAGAAATGTAACTATTTTGGTACTAATATTTTTATTACACATAAAAAAAATCACGTTTCTTTCTAAGCATTTCCATGAAAACTTCATCATCTTACTGTAAATAATTTGCGAGTTATTAATTTTTTTAAATTTCTGTGACTTTTGAATCACCCTGTATATTTGGCCATCAGAGGAAGGAGACAAGATCTTTATTTACATTAGGGACATGTAAAATTTTTCTGAGCCACATGTCTGATTCTATCCTTACGTTTCTATATTCAACGATTGACTCAGCAGTGAATTTTTTGTTGAGTCCCTCCATTGAAAGATCTGACATCATGTTTTGTAGAAAAAAGAAACGTTTCCGTTGAAAGGGCACTTTTGTGATGAGCAACTTAATTAAGGAGAAGGTAACAATTGTGACTGTTTTTCTAAATAATTAAAGTAATTCACTTAACCATTATTCAAATAAATCCTTTTATTCAAATGAACCATTATCTGTATCATTTTTTTTGTATACTGGGTCTTT